CAGTGGCAACCAAATCTCCTTCCGTCCGGCCAAATGCAAAACCTCTACCTACCAACGCTCCTTCTTTATTCGTGCAACCAGAACTTGGAACTCTTTACCAACTACACTAAGATCTCCTGACATTAATATTAGGCAATTCAAAACTGATTTGCAAACTTACTACCTGACAGCTCTGAGAGAATGCTTCGACGAAGAAGATCCGAGGACATGGAAGACTATATGTCTGAAGTGTAACACTAGTCGTTACTTACGTTCTGAACTAACTTGTTGTTTTTAGTCTCCTGTCCATGTACTGTATGTTATAAGTTCTGTACTGTATGTGTATTTTTGTATAGGGCCCACAGTAATTGGTTTACACTGTTGTGGTGTCCCTGCCATTTTTGTCCATGTTTATTTTCTAGATGTCTATTTGCTGTTCTGTTAAGTGTTTTTGGCAAAGTTTAATAAATAAATAAATAAATAAATATGATGCTAATAAGAAATTGTGTTGTCCGGTGGTCAGATTGTGTTTGTAATATAAGAGTAGTGTAATTGGCGATCATCTTAACCTAAACACTAAATAATGTTTAGAAATATTTTAGTCGTATTTTAGATATAATTTTGTATATGTATGTAATATTCTAGAATTAAAAACACATTATAATTTAGCGTATCCGCTATTGAAATGTGGGAAATAAAGCCATTATTATAATAACAGACACTATTTGTAAAAAATTTATCTGCTTTCCATGGTGACTTAAAAAAATATTAAATAAAAGTCATGGAATTGAAATGAAAACCAGCAAGAAGACGGGGAAGCCGAAAGACTTGCTAAAAGATGGGAGCAAAGACGCCGACGTTTGCTACAAGAGACTTAAAAATTTTATTTAGAAACCAGAAAAATCGTTATAATTAATGGGACGTGCAGGCAAACAGTTTATTCGTGCTGGATGTCCCAAACGTTTGCTTTAACCCGCTTAAACGATGGTACTACTAATGGAGGTGCTAGTCTAGTTGTTAATATCAAACAGGTTGGCGAAATTGATGTGAAATCTGTATGTAACTATGATACTAAAATATTTGGCTATAAGCGAGAGAAATAATTTCTAGAGCGATTACTTCAAGTCAGCCTATGTGGATGATAAAGCTTATAGAGGACAAGGCTATGGTTTGAAAATAGTGAAAATTACAGCAGAAGCGGCAAGACGACGATCTGAGCCCAACGGCGTAGAAACTGGTTATGCTGTGCCTGAGATGATTGAAAATTACAAAAAGATGTGCATGGCTGATAACAAAAGATTGGGGCAATAGATTGCTGGAAGTTGTGAAACTCAATGAATGTAAATTTGTTTTAAATATTGATGTATTGTTTGCTTATATACTATTTAAAACATGAGCAGCAGTGAGCTAGCTTGTTTTATCAGATATAAAGATACGAGGAGAAGCCAGCTTTGGGGGCCAAGGTCGCCTATAAATGTCAACTAATTTCGCATAATGTCGCCCATGTGACCCAATTTTTGAACTTTGCCTTCGTTTAATATCGCCTAATGCCGCCCAATGTCGCTCAATGTCGCCCAGTTTCGCCCAACGACGCATACTACTTCACTTTGAAAATTGCTAATGTCGCACAATGTTGCATATAATAACGGCATTGACATTGAGCCAGTTTTAGGTCTGATAAAACACGTACTGCGAATGTTTTAAATTACTTCAAGTAATTTTCAAAAAATACGTTGTGTAAGTCGAGAAAATCAAAGTTAAAGTTCATGTAAATCAAGGGAAATCTCTATCCATTCTGTATCCAATATAAAGATACGAAACGCCTATGATTTTTCTTTGTGTTTTCCTCATCAATTATTAATGAGTTTTTGAAATATATATATTAATGTCATTAAAAACTGATCGTTGCGTATGATGAAAATAATTTCAGTGTATATTTATTAATTACCCTTTTTTATCATTAATATGAAAATCTTTAAATAAAGAGGAAAGCAAAGTTATTTTCATGCGAGAATTTGAAATAATTTAATTTCAAACTCAAAGTTTATCGATAACTGAGGTAGTTTAATTAGTTTTAATTAAGTCAATACATTTTAAAACATTTTGCGAAGCGTTTTTGGTCGATCGAATTTTCATTAAATTGAAGTTTATATTGCGTATAATAACATATCTAACATATATGTTTTTGGGAAATTGATAATTTTGGAATTAAAAGTTATATCTTTAGGGCATTTTTCAATTTTAAAAATATTCTTAATAAAATGATCGTGTTACCATGAGACAACTACTTCAAATACTTCATGTTCGGATAATATAATATTTTGCCAGCAAGGCGAGGGATTTCTGCATGTATTTCTAGTATATGCAGGGCATTTTTTAAGAATTCGTCAGTGGGGGGGGGGCATCTACAAAAAGGGATCATACTATACCAAGTGTGGAGAAATGATAGATGGTTGTTGGTAACAAAAAGTTAGGTGTGGTATCGCATTTAATAGTAGGGGGGTCTGGGGGTATTCTCCCCCAGAAATTTTTTGTATTTTTCTACCCCTATGACTGCAATTCATGCATTTTCTGAAACAGATTTTTGGATATACATTATGCTGTAGATAGACTGAACCTTCAGTGAAATACTTGCATGATATGTTCATGTAGATACCACAACTTGGTCATTCAGGGAGCCAGCTTGATAAACTTAGGGGGCCTGACTCCCACAAAGCCCCACCATGGTTGGCACAGAGCGGGGAATTTTGAAAATTTTGTGTCTCTAAATCGTCGGAAATGGAATTTTCAAAGTCTGCTCTACCTCTTTTGTTAGGCCTTTAAATTAATTCTTTCATTATGATTTGTGAGTCTATGCTAGTATCTGTGAGTCAGAATGGATTATTACGAGAAATGTTGTCAGTATCAACATATCGATTACAGATATATATATATATATATATATATATATATATATATATATATATATATATATATATATATATATATATATATATATATATATATAGCAGTGTAGTGCTGATGAGCTATTTACAGTTACCTTTGATGCCTCACGATTGTGGGACAATCAAAACCATGCCAGAGCGCTTAATCTGAAAGCAGTGAGCGTGCGCAATGTGTAAGCGGCATGGCTCATCCTGTAGAGCGCTCAATATGACCTAAAGGCCATAGAGCGATATCTAACTACAGACGGTACCGTTTCGGCCTTATGGGCCTCATCAGTGTAGTGCTGATGAGCAGGATGAAAGTAACTGCTATTTACAGTTACCTTTGATGCCTCACGATTGTGGGACATCAAAACCATGCCAGAGCGCTTAAACTGCAAGCAGTGAGCGTGCGCAATGCGTAAGCGGCATGGCTCATCCTGTAGAGCGCTCAATATGACCTAAAGGCCATAGAGCGATATCTAACTACAGATGGTACCGTTTCGGCCTTATGGGCCTCATCAGTGTAGTGCTGATGAGCAGGATGAAAGTAACTGCTATTTACAGCTACCTTTGATGCCTCACGATTGTGGGACATCAAAACCATGCCAGAGCGCTCAAACTGCAAACAGTGAGCGTGCGCATATATATATATATATATATATATATATATATATATATATATATATATATATATATATATATATATATATATATATATATATATATATATACGATTTCAAATACTTCTAGTTTCGAAACAATTATCCCCCCTTATAAAACACTGGGTTGGGGGGCCGTTTCCCCCTGCTTCCTACGCACCCTGCAGTCACTAACTTGTTTAGCCCAGCCTTCCAACAACTCAAATCTACAGGGTCTGGGAAATGCAATCCACTGGAAAATGTTTAAAATCTAATAAGGTATTTACAACACAATGTTTAGCGCTAAATAAAGTTAAAAGATAGGACATAAGATTCACAAAGCAAATTTCAGTTACTAGAGTATCAAACCTCCCTTCTAAATTCCGTGTTTTCCTTATATTTTAGAGAAAAGGGACTTTGACTGGGGGGCCAAAATGGTTGAGTGGGGGGGGGGCACCATGGGGGCTGGGGGGCTTTGGCCTCCCCAGTTATATAGTTAAAAAATGCCCTGAGTATATGTACTGCTATGATTCCATTTTTGTGCAGGATTCAACTGACAACAAGGGCTGCTGAGTACTACGGACAACTCTAAAATTTAATAAATGCTGCTCATCCTTGAATTTACACTGAAAATCACATTCTCCTAGTCATTTTCCAATGGTGGACATTTCTTTTGCTCTCTTTCATGTCTCCTTCCACAATATCTGCGCTGCTTTCCAGTGGCGTGGTGGCTCGAAAATTTCAAGGGGGGCCAGTGTTAAATTTGTCGCCCCTAAGAGTTATCTGGATTATTGCGCCCCTCTCCCCCCCCCCTCCCCGCCCAGCCTCCAGAAAATTAGTGCGAGTGTACACATCGAGTGTCGTGGGCACGAGGGACCTAGAAGAGTCTGGGGGATGCTTTTCCAGAACTTTTTAAAATCTAACTCTGTGAAATGGCATTTCCAGCATTCTGAAAACACATTTGTGAAACAGTTTTCCACCAAGTACTAATCTAAAACACTCTTAGTCAGGTTTTGTTGTAGCATATTATCAACGGATAAAATTATACTATAATACAATTTTTACTATCATATGCCGATAATGAGAGAACATAATTTTGTTCCAGGTCAAATGTCAATAACGTATAGACTATAAGCTATAGTTTATGCAAATTGAGCATAATATCACATGTACAGTTTTAAAAGACAATCAATGAACCAAATGACAGTTCGGGAGAAAGCCCTGCGTACAAGTTAATGAGATGTTCTTTATCGCATTTGAGCAAAATTTTACGCTCGATTGACATTGAAAGCAAAGATTCAAGTCTCTCCTGAACCATGGATGAGCGAATGCGAGTCTTCACCCTCTTGAGTGCAGAAACGAACGCTCTGCAGTCGACGAACTAACTGGGATGGCCACAGCAATAGCATAAACGCGACAGAGAATTGGATACGTATCAACCAAACTATAATCTGGGTTACAAAGGAGTGAAAGACAGAAAGAGCTTCAGAGAAAGATGGAACTTTTTCTTCATTTGTTTTTCAGCTTTCTTGCCGCCGCTGTCGCTCTGCTCATTATCTGACGTGCTTGAGATTTCGTCGTCGTCCTCGTCATCATCATCATCATCATCATCATAACCATACGTTGTCCTCGCCGTCATCATCATCATAGTCATCGTCGTCTTCACTGTAATCATCATCATCTTCTTGCTGGCAGACAGTTGAACAGTCGAATTTCTCAAAAGAACGAGCAAAATTGAACAATTCGTCAGCACATCTAAACGCATCTATACTGTACGTTTCACAAAAGGTGTTAAGTCACGCTTGAAGATCATGTGCGGTTTTGAAATTCTTCACAAGTTGTGGGAAACGGCTTGGGGCAAACAACGAAAAAGCTTGGAGCAAGGGTTGGTTTTTCTCAAACCGATTCTTCAATGAATTTAAGATCGTGTCCACAGAAACGTAAAATGTGTTACGTTTCCAGTGATCTTCTGGTGTTTCAGCAGGTTCGTCTTCGGCATTTTCATCATCCATTCGTCTTCGACGTCTGATTTTTGGTTGTTGCCAAGTCACGCTGGGCGCTGGGGGAGTCGTGTTTTTGCTCAACGTATCTGATAATTAGCTCCGGTTCTTTACGCAATTCATTGAGCTCGTCAATCGCGCTTTCGACCATACCCAGGACTTTTCCAAAATCAACATCAACGCGTTGTAAATATCGGCTTAGCGGACCAGTGGATGCAAATATTTCTCGAAAGAGGTACGCGGTAGCCAGGAACTGCTTTGTTTGAATCTGCTTCAATAAGCCAATGCTCGTTTTTCGTGGGTTTCCATTAATTAAACTGTCCAACGCAACGGTTTCCAGGACACTTAAAATGCGGTCATAACGAGAGAGAAGGACCTTTAGACACAACTCGCGAGAATGCCAACGAACAGTATTAAGTCTCTTTAGGGAAAGGACTTTCAGATTCTCTTCCAGTTGGACAGCTTCGAACAAATCATGGATTCTTTGTGTCTTGCTAAAGAGAACGTACAAGGCTTCGAGGTCATTGAAGAAGCTTATTACTTGAACATCAACACTTGCAGAGTCGGACAAAACAAGATTAAGCATATGCGCATAACAGTGGACAAAAGCAACATGCTTTCCAACTTTTTCCTTGATGATCGCTTGCAAGCCGTTGTAGCAGCCGCTCATATTCGAAGCGCCGTCGTATGTTTGTGCTACGAGTTTACCAAACGACACACCTTTCGAGACAAATGTTTCTGAGATTAGATTGTATATAGTTCCATTGCTCTTGTACCGGAAGCTCTTTTGCAAGACAAAAGATGCTCGGAGCATTTCCCATTACGATTAACGATCCTTGCACAAATACTAAGCTGCTCGTGGTGACTGACATCCGGTATTGTGTCGGCTATTAATGCCCATGCTCTGCAATTACCGATTTCTTTGACAATTTGCGAGGCGATTTCTCTTCCAATAATTTTGATTACATTATTCTCTCGCGTATCGTTGCTGAGGAAAGTTAGTTTCGAACCCCGTCCTTTGGCACCTTTTTCCCCGCCCTTTCTTCTCGATATAGCTTGTTGATTTCTAACCTTTTCAAGATGATTCGCAGTTGTTAACTTGTTATATCGTAAGGTCGACAGGTAATTCAGCGACTCTAGAAAATTTCCTTTGTTTGCTTCTGGGTCATCAATTAGCGATTCTCGATGCCCTCTGGAAGCAAGTCCCTGCTTTCCCAAATGTACAACAGTGTCGATAACACGTTTCATAATGCCTGCGGTTTGCCACGACTTCTTTCTTCCGACGCAAAATTTCGGTCTTTTCTTGTTGCTTCAAGCATGAATCGATTGATCGTTCTTGCCAAAAGATAACTTGAGCAATCTTGGCATTTATATGACTTTCGAACTTTTCGTGCTTTGTGATATTACTGTACTGCTTCTTCCAGTTCGAGTACCCAGCATTCGTAAAAGCATTTCCTTGGTTGTGGCGCGTGTTTTCGCCTCTTAAACATTCATCTGAAAATAGGAGACATGGGAGGCAGAATAGACAATCTTTACTTAGCGAGTATGAAAGCCATTTGCGCCTAGTTTGATCTTCGTGAAAGAGTACCGCCTGCGAGCAGTACCGGTTACGTTCTCCAATTTTCTTTTTTCTCTCAGATAAAACGGATTCGGGTGGCTGACATGGTTCATTTTTACAAATGGCATTTCGGCGCCTCTCTTGAAACCATCGCTGGGGGGCCATGCCCCCCCCCAAAGCCCGCCCCCCCCCCCCAGCCACCACGCCACTGCTGCTTTCCATCCTTTCTCTGCTTTCCATCATATTGCTCTTCTTTTAGTGGTTTCTTAGTTTTTCACAAAGTCGACTGGCTCTTGTGTTGAATCTCTTTCAATTCTCTTTAGCTGTTCACTAGTTGTTTCACTTATCCTAAGAGACTCGATGGCTTTTTCAATCTACAGTATTTCTCTGAACAAACTTGTTCTTCCTGAACTATCCTTGCAGCCAAGAACTAAACGACCCCTTCCATTTCATGGACCAAATTGACAAGGTTTAGAACGTTGATCTGTACTATGGAAACCAGTTAGTTCATATACAATATATTTTTCACCAGTAATAAATTATCCGCTTGCTAAGACTGAATGTCTTTGGATCTTTTCGAAAACTTTCTTACATTAAAATTTTAAGTTTGAGAGTGTCAACGTGCAGCATGAGCTCCACCTTTGAATTTACTATATGAGTAAATTGTTAAACACGTCCGAATTTATCAATATGATAAATTCGTGGCACCTAACCCCTAGCACTAACCCCTAACCCCAACCCTAACCCTAACCCCTAACCCTAACCCCTAATCTAACTTTTTTTGATAATTTTAATAAAACTTTTTTTGAAAATCTAACTTTTTAAACTTTTTTAAATCGTTTTTTAACTTTTTTAAACTGTTTTTTAACTTTTTCTGAAGATCTTGGTTTGTAATAATTCACTCTTAGTTATTATACCCGGCCAGTAATGCAAGCAAAAGCAATAGTGTTCCCGGATTAATTCATCTTTTGTTCGCGACGCCCATAAAATGTGATCCAGATCTGATATTATAAAGGACTAAACGTGATACAGACTGCTGTTTGTTTTTTCAATTGCCATTGACGCAAATTTGAAATATTTTATATGTTTACTGTCGTTCCAATTGAAGTGTTGCTCAAATATTGATTCAATACATTACCTCGGGCTGACCAATTCATTTCATCAAATTCCTCGAGATATTCGTACACTTCCTAGTATAATTGTAAACTTCCTGTTGAATAGTTTGAATGCACCAATCACCTTTGTTGTTTGTGCAGCTAACCAATCATAAATAGAAAGGAAGTGACCAGAAATGATCAAATACTTGGAATTGGCTCATTCACAGGAAGTGTATGAATAACTCGAGGAACTTGATCAAATGAATTGGTCAGCCCGAGGTAATGTATTGAATCAATATTTGAGCAACACTTCAATTGGAACGACAGTAAGGTTTTTCTTTGACAAATCAAGTGCTGGTTGACTTCCTATTATTCAAATCAAGTGCTGGTTGACTTCCTATTATTCAATTTTTCAGTGCCACAGAAATGCAAAAATACTCCTTGTGTATGTATAAATGTAAACCAGTTACCAGTAGGCGGGCAACAGCTTTATAATACCTTTCAGGCTTGTTTAAGTTCAACAATGGCAAGATTAATGTTCTATTTAAATGCGCGAGGTATCAGGGACGTAGGAAGCATCAAAAGGTTGGGGGCACCGGCTTCGAGGGGCGCTTTTGGATGATGAAAAGGGCACCAAAAAATTTTTCCCGTAAATTTTGGCAATGGAGTAGGGGGGGAGGGAGGAAAACAATTTTGCAATCATATCATATTCCATGCTTAATATAATACATTCGCATTGCAACGTACAATCAACGTTTTTGATCACATTTCAGTTTTTCATGGACCTATATTTATTGAGGGGCACTTTTGTCAAGAATTGCAGGTTATTTTCTGAACAATATTTTTCACAAAGACAAAGGGAACTTTGCCACCGGAGAGAGAGCACTTTTTGTGTCTTCTGAAAACTTGGTGGCCTAGGCCTCCTTGCCCCCCTCCCCCCGGTTCCTACGCTCCTGCGAGGTATGCAAAGTTGCAAAAGGTTACGTAGCCACTCAGGGACGCCTGAACTGGGGGGGGCAGGGGGGGGGCGGCTGCCCCCCTTGCCTTTTGCTAGGGGGGGGGGCAGAAATGCCCTTTTAGTTGTAAAATAATACGTGATAAATCACATTTCCAACGATGCTTTTTGTAGGAAAATCACGAGATTCAGGTAATTTATAGTTTATATTTATAAAAATTTTGGGAAATTTTTGGAATTTAGAAAAATATTTTGAAGAAATGGCGAAAATTTAAGATATCCGGAATAATTTTTGGCTTCACGGAAAATTTTTGTATGTCCGGAAAAAATTTTTGACCCCTAAAATGGTACACTGACCGAAATTTTTTGGCGACGGGGGGAATATATATATTGAATATACAATATTTTAATCAGTGCTTCCATTTTCAAGGAAATTTCCTTTTCTAAGGAAATTCTACTGTCGAAAAGGAAAATCTAAGGAAGAGAAAAAATCTAAGGAAATCTAAGGATTTTTCCGAAAAACTTAAATATTCATCCAAGTGCATTAGTGAAGAAGAAGGTTTCACTATTTTTTGAACTTTTGAGTGATTTATCAATTATCTTTACTGTCGTTCCAATTGAAGTGTTCCTCAAATATTGATTCGGTACATTACCCCGGGCTGACCAATTCACTTGATAGAAAATTGATCAACTTCCTGTTACTTTTAAATGAGCCAATTAGATTTCGTTTCAGAACCGATTGACCAATAGGAAACGCACAGGAAGTAAAAAGAAATTTGAATTCGTATGAATTGGTCAGCCCGAGGCATAGAATAAAGATCAGTACAAGAAGGGCCACTCAGCGGTGCAACGTGTCGCCATTTTTCTATGCAAAAATATGCAGTTGACTGGCCAGAAGGCGGGGCCTTCACCCAATACAGCGCGTTTATTGGCCAGAAAATGTAATCGACTGGCTAGGAAGATGGCGGCCAGGGGACCCTTCTGTGTGCCTTATTCTGTGCCCGAGGTAATGTATTGAATCAATATTTGAGGAACACTTCAAATGGAACGGCAGTAATTAAAAATCTGTTTTTAACTTTTTCCTCGTGCTTTCGAAAATTTCCGAAAATTTTTGAGCGATGGGATTGAGTAACTTTTGGCGCCAAACGCTGTGAATAGTTTATTAATCATATCAATGTAAACATATCTCTTGTAAATTCATAACAAATATTTAATTTTAAACAGTATAATAGCCTGTGGTTTTTAGCTTGCCCACATCTTTGTTAAATGTGCTATTTTGTGCCTTGAAAATTAATTAAATCCTTTGTATTGCTACAAAATCACTGCAAACTGCTTCATGAAATTTCAAGGAATTTTCAAGGAAATAAAATATACAATCTAAGGAATTTAGAGAAATTTTTATGAAAAAAATGAGAAATTTTGATTTCAAAAATGGAAGCACTGATTTTAATAGTCTATATCTTATCAGACAAAATATGTTGGACATCTATCTTGTTCCAGTTCCAGGTTCCGGTTCCTGTATCGTTGCATTGTTTTTTTTTTGTATAAGCCGTACCCACAACGGCGCCGTTATACGCAGGCTGAGTACATATATATTGTTATAAATTGCAAACCGTTGACACATGGGGTGACTGTAATTATAAGTTTGGTAGACGCATTATATTGTCTTTGTTGAACAGCTGGAATTTATTAGTCTTGTTTTGGTAGGCAACATCTACAAGTCTTTTACTAATTCTTTTTACTAGATTAAAATCGAACTGGTGCAGTCTCATTTCATATGCGAATGAGGAAATTCATGACTCAGCATTATAGGAGTACGTACGGGGCTTCCTGACGTTGATCGAAATTGCCCGACTAATACAAAAAAATTTCCGTCTAAAATCGAGACATCAGTTATGACATTTCCCAACGCCACATATATTTCTTGCTTTTGCGACCATTTCATACGAGGGGCCATGGATGACCTTTAATTCGTTGTAATACAAATATTCCGACAATGACCGCTCACTGATAGTTTATCTAATACAATCCACAGATATGACCTTATAAATTGAATAAGTCTTGAAATAGAAACGTTACGGGTAATTTGTTTGTCTAATTGTCCAATTACAGCAATACCGATGATTCTATTTTTGATTCTAGATCCTTCGTGTATATTGCAAATATTTTATTGGCTTTATAATTAAACTGACTCTTTGCCGATTCCGCTTATCACTTTTATTTCCAGGCAGCGTTAGTCCTTTCTCGTTTTCTCTTGGTATATTAGGCACTGCATCAAACTTGTTTAGTTTAGTGCAACCGTCCCTTTGGCTTTGTAGCTCCTTCTTTATTGTTTTATCTATACTACAGTCCTCTCGATCTGTGATGTGGACCTGTGTGGTTTTTGCAGTGTGTATATTTTGATCTATTGCTTTGTAACAAGATTGATTTTTTGCGATCATTTGGAGTGCATGTTCACAAGATTTAATTTTAACTTCTGTATCAGCGAGTTATTCGAGCGTTCATAGTAAGGGGTGTGTCATTGTGTCACTGCATGGACTTTATTATTCGATGTATTCGATCTCAGCTGTCGTAAATATAATAAAATCTTCAAAAGACTCTAGATCTTGATTTTGCATGGGATTTTCAAATCATGTATGTTTGTGATTTAAAGCGCATAGTTTATAGTTAAGACTGAAGGTCTTTCAAATCCGGGAGGGTGTTTTGCGCACGAGGAGTGTGCATGTATTGGCTTGGTAGAAAACACACGGAAAACGCATATCATGCAGCTAAGAAGAATCACGTTTACCGTGGAAGAATGGACTGATTAATTAATAAAACTGGTCTTAAATTACCCCCTTTGTTATTTTCGAGAAGGAGGAGAACTGACCTGGAAAATCAGGAATCTTGCGATGTTGCAAAATTTTGAAATTTTATTTGGTTTCGTATCGTCTAGGGACTGAGGTTATAATTAAGCTTGCATGCTACAGTGAATATGCTCGATATATGTTTTGCAACGCGGAAATTTGACTTCGTTCTTTTAACCGCATGTTTAGTTCAGTTGTATAAATTGTTATCACAAATCCACTAACTTAGTGAAAGCTTGCTCAATCTTAGCTTAAGTGTGCAGGAATTGTTGTGAAACCAAAAAATTCTCTATATAAACGGTGCAATACTATATAGGCATATGCAACCAAAAATATTCGTCCTTACTCCTTAGACGGTAGGCTAGCTACAATATAGGCAGTATAATCATGAATTATGGTTATGGTTCTCAAGCTCGTATTCGCGTCGATGTAATACATCTCGACTGGTTGTACAGTATGGCTATCGGCTTAAACGTAACCTATACAAATAGTCATTGAACTAGTATTTCCGCCGGTATAAAATAGCACATGAAGTAATTCGGGTTAATTTTCAAGCCGAATATCTGAAGTTTTCTCTGAATAAACTTTCGAATATAAGGGATGAACAAATCTGATCTCACGAACAACCAGGCAACTACTTCTAAACATACCTAAACATTGATCAACCTATACTGACTCAGCCGGTGATCTTGAACAAATACAGTCCACAGATTTTATCGATTGAACAGACACGTACGTTTATAGGGGTGATTTGTTTATCTAATTGTCCAATTATATCAATGTCGATTATTATACACACTACGTACTACGTATACAGTGTATATTGCGAAATATTTTAAACTTTATAATTAACCTGATTGTTTGCCCAGTCCACATTTATTTCCAAGCATTTTAGTCCTTTCCCTTAATTTTCACTTAATATATATCATATCAGTACTTGTACCGTAGGCCTACTGCATAAAACTATAGAACACATCCTATTTTGCAACTCTTGCATGTCATGGACATGGTAGCAGTAGATATTGTTCACTAGTGTTTTGGAATTTAAGAGATGAGCAAATCAGTCTGATCTAACGAACTGCCTTGCACGTACTTCTAAATCAACATAGAATACGTAACTACCTAATTCAGTAAAATGCATGCAATATAGCCAATATCTTTAAGTCTATATATTTTTACATGACTACCGTATGTAAAGGCCCTTGTCACACTATTGCGTATGAGAGAAACGTATGAAAATTCATGAAATAATTTTCATACGCACAAAAATCCTTTAAAATGCCAGCGTATAGGAGTATCGTACAGCTGGCGTACCGGCCTCTAGGGTATTCATGCAGCGTGTGCCTAGAGCGCTAGTATGCTTATCGTATAAAGCTTACGTCCGATACGTACAAAATGTTTGAGCATGCTTAAAAATATTTTCTGCCTCGCCGTATACCAGCGTATGCCACCGTACGCGACCGTGCTTGAAACGTATACAACCTATGCCTAACGTACCTCTAGCGTATGTCAGCGTATACCGGCGCATGAGTGATATTTTTCATACGCTGGCATCAACGCTAGTACGATACGCAATAGTGTGACAGGGCCTTAAGTCATTACTATTAATAATATATCTGTACATTCAAAAGGCAATTCCAGCTATCGACTAATTTTATATCTCAGACAAAAAAGACGAAATATATCATTATAGCTCAAATGAGCATCCTAAAATTAGTAAAATTGCAAAGTTTGGTTGCGAAATGTTGTAAAATAGGTGAAATATAGCTCTGTGAAATTAGCAAATTTTGAGTATTAGTTAGTATTACGCGCAGTAAAAATAACCACTTTTGAGCCGAAAGTGGTTATTTTTCAGCATGAGCTCCATTATCAAATGATAAATTCGCGGTACCTAACCCCTAACACAAACGCCTAACCCTAACCCCACTGAAGTGACTGACCCCTTAGCTATAGAGGGGCTAAACTGTGGAATAGTCTCCCAAATGAATTAAGAGGAAAAGAATCACCAACCTCGTTCCCAGGGTATTTAGGAAATACCCTGGTATGGGCTGGTCACGTGCCTCGTCCAAAATTTAGCGCCCGAGGGTGTGTGGGAAAAGTATCAAATTACATGATTCCAGTGGAGATATTTTGTTTAACAGTTAAAAACATTATTAAGTTCAAAATACTTGCTAATTTTTGTTTATTTTCTTTGCTTTGAATTTACAAGAACATTCTTACATTTTTACCAACAGTCAAGTCAAGAAACCAAGCAAATCGTTACTCACAGTGCTCTCTCGTGTTGTTATTCAATGCCGTCTCTTCACACTCGAGCGCGGTTTTATAACAAACGTTTATTATGAGCTTTCAGTCATCATTTCTACATATGTAATGTTTTTAAAATACGCCATTAGATTTGTCCTTTCTTGTAAATGTTTATATGCTTTGCACCGATTTAATTACTTGTTACTATACGTCTACGCGTCTTGTTTATAAGATTGAAAGAAACAGTATTTTATTGTCTGGGACTAGAGCCCAATATTAGCAAATGTAAACATTTGATACTAGCCAAACAGAGAAAGTCTGTCAGTGATTATAAAATTTTGGATTTAGTACATAGTATTCGGTGATTATAGTCAGGCTTTAGCCTTTTTCTTGGTCTTTATTAATCATAATATTTTCCTAATATACTAAATCTATATATTGTGAATTTACAGTGTCAGACGCGCACAGACTGTCATACGAATAAACATAAATTTTCGAGTTTTCTACTTCTACTAACATTTTTAAAGTTTTCATTGTGAATCATCTGTTTATTTCTAGTTCATTAGTCATTAATATGCTCTAAAAAACAAGGCTCTCAAATATATTTGTATATTTATTTGATAGTGTCATAGTGATATATGCATTTACAAGCAATCCTGGATATGATAAAGACGATACAAGCTGTCCATTAAAAAATAACGGGATTCTATTCCACAAAGAAAAATATTTAAATCTCACTTGTATTATTAAGAATATATATAAAGCAAAAAATTTAAACTTGTGTGAGTTGTCTCAAAACGAAAGCTGTTTATAAAATTTATAAATGTTGTAAACACTATTACTAATATAAAGTTCCCATTGAAAGACATAATATAGTATAGTATATTGTCGTTTGACTTATCTTTGATGTATGATTTTAATACTGTAGATTTTCAACAGACAGCTAGACTTTAACATATACCATGATTGTTGAGTTTCAGCAATGCCAAGGGCCAATGCAGGAAGTTTTATAAGCTTTTATAGTCAACAATCTGGATACAGTTGGCGTCTTGGCGATATTTCGGAAATCAAAAGATCTCGCTATTTCGTTGCAATTCCATGCCACATCTCATCAATAAATAAATTCTTTTGCTTCGAGTATCTAGATATACTTTCATAACAATTAAATAAATGAATAACCACATTGTTCGGTCTAGATATATATATTTTCTTGTACTGCTTTATTATATTGCCACGCCGTCCACACGTGCTTTCTCAGTGACAAGTCTATAAGTTGAAATCTGATCCAATTTGCTTGAATTGTAACTCGACACTAGATTGTAGAGTAGAAAGTCACATCACGATAAATATTAATTTTTAATTGCAGTTCTTTTCACGAATAATCACGATTTCTTTGAAGATTCAATGGTTATCGTTTATATTCATAGAGCGATCTAATTAATTGTCACAATATATACTCACTCCCCCAACCCTAGTAAACAATACGCCATTTTACGCAAAATCCGCGGGTCACGTGACCAGCCCATACCAGGGTATTTCGCTCCCCAAGAGCAAATACCCTGGGTACGAGGTTCCTCACGCTGAGGACAAGGTTCTTCACGCTGAGGACAATGTTCTTCACGATGAGAACAAGATTCCTCACGCTGAGGACAAGGTTCCTCACGCTGAGGACAAGGTTCTTCACGCTGAGGACAAGGTTCTTCACGCTGAGGACAAGGTTCCTCACGCTGAGGACAAGGTTCCTCATGCTGAGGACAAGGTTCCTCACGCTGAGGACAAGCTTCCTCACGCTGAGGACAAGTTTCTTCACGCTGAGAACAAGATTCCTCACGCTGATGACAAGGTTCCTCACGCTGAGGACAAGGTTCTTCACGCTGAGCAGAAGGTTCTTCACGCTGAGGACAAGGATTTTCACGCTGAGGACCAGGTTCCTCACGCTGAGGACAAGGTTCCTCATGCTGAGAACAAGGTTCCTCATGCTTACGACAAGGTTCCTCACGCTGAGGACAAGGTTCCTCACGCTGAGGAGTAGGTTCTTCACGCTGAGGACAAGGTTCCTCACGCTGAGGACAAGGTTCCTCACGCTGAGGACAAGGTTCCTCACGCTGAGGACAAGGTTCTTCACGCTGAGGACTAGGTCCTTCACGGTGAGGACAAGGTTCCTCACGCTGAGGACAAGGTTCCTCACGCTGAGGACAAGGTTCCTCACGCTGAGGACAAGGTTCCTCACGCTGAGGACAAGGTTCCTCACGCTGAGGACAAGGTTCCTCACGCTGAGGAGAAGGTTCTTCACGCTGAGGACAAGGTTCCTCACGCTGAGAACAAGGTTCCTCACGGTGAGGACAAGGTTCCTCAGGCTGAGGACAAGGTTCTTCACGCTGAGGACAAGGTTCCTCACGCTGAGGACAAGGTTCCTCACGCTGAGGACAAGGTTCCTCACGCTGAGGACAAGGTTCCTCACGCTGAGGACAAGGTTCCTCACGCTGAGGACAAGGTTCCTCACGCTGAGGACAAGGTTCCTCACGCTGAGGACAAGGTTCCTCACGCTGAGGACAAGGTTCCTCACGCTGAGGACAAGGTTCTTCACGCTGAGGACAAGGTTCCTCACGCTGAGGACAAGGTTCCTCACGCTGAGGACAAGGTTTCTCACGCTGAGAACAAGGTTCCTCACGCTGAGGACAAGGTTCCTCACGCTGAGGACAAGGTTCTTCACGCTGAGGACAAGGTTCCTCACGCTGAGGACAAGGTTCCTCACGCTGAGGACAAGGTTCCTCACGCTGAGGACAAGGTTCTTCACGCTGAGGACAAGGTTCCTCACGCTGAGGACAAGGTTCCTCACGCTGAGGACAAGGTTCCTCACGCTGAGGACAAGGTTCCTCACGCTGAGGACAAGGTTCTTCACGCTGAGGACAAGGTTCCTCACGCTGAGGACAAGGTTCCTCACGCTGAGGACAAGGTTCTTCACGCTGAGGACAAGGTTCCTCACGTTGAGGACAAGGTTCCTCACGCTGAGGACAAGTTCTCAGCTGAGAAAGGTTCCTCACGCTGAGAGCAAGGTTCTTCACGCTGAACACAAGGTTCTTCACGCCGAGGACAAGGTTCCTCACGTTGAGGACAAGGGTCTGCACACTGTGGCCAAGGTTCCTCACGCTGAGGACAAAGTTCCTCACGCTGAGGACAAGGTTTGTCACGCTGAGAACAAGGTTCCTCACGCTGAGGACAAGGTTCTTCACGCTGAAGACAAGGTTCTTCACGCCGAGGACAAGGTTCCTCACGTTGAGGACAAGGTTCTTCACACTGTGACCAAGGTTGCTCACGCTGAGGACAAGGTTCCTCACGCTGAGGACAAGTTTCTTCACGCTGAGGACAAGGTACTTCACGCTGTGGACAAGGTTCGTCACGCTGAGGACAAGGTTCCTCACGCTGAGAACAAGGTTCCTCACCCTGAGGACAAGGTTCGTCACGCTGAAGACAAGGTTCTTCACGCCGAGGACAAGATTCCTCACGTTGAGGAAAAGGTTCTTGACACTGTGGCCAAGGTTCCTCACGCTGAGGACAAGGTTCCTCACGCTGAGGACAAGTTTCCTCACGCTGAGGACAAGGTTCCTCACGCTGACGACAAGTATCCTCACGCTGAGAACAAGGTTCCTCACGCTGAGGACATGGTTCCTAACGCTGAGGACAAGGTTGCTCATCTGAGGACAAGTTTCTTCACGCTGAGGACAAGGTTCATCACGCTGAGAACAAGGTTCATCATGCTGAGGACAAGGTTCCTCACGCTGAGGACAAGGTCCTCACGCTGTGGACAAGGTTACTCACGGTAAGAATAAGGTTCCTCACGCTGAGAACAAGGTTCCTCACGCTGAGGGCAAGGTGCTTCACGCTGAAGACATGGTTCTTCACGCCGAGGAAAAGGTTCCTCACGTTGAGGACAAGGTTCTTCACGCTGTGGGCAAGGCTCCTCACGCTGAGGAAAAGGGTCCTCACGCTGAGGACAAGGTTCCTCACGCTGAGAACAAGGTTCCTCACGCTGAGAGCAAGGTTCTTCACGCTGAAGACAAGGTTCTTCACGCCAAGGACAAGGTTCCTCACGTTGAGGACAAGGTTCTTCACGCCGAGGAGAAGGTTCCTCACGCTGAGGACAAGGTTCCTCACGCTGAGGACAAGTTTGTTCATGCTGAGGACCAGGTTCCTCACGCTGAGAACAAGGTCCCTCACGCTGAGGACAAGGTTCCTCACGTTCAGGACAAGTTCCCTCACGCTGAGAAGAAGGATCCTCACACTGGGAAGAAGGTTCCTCACGCTGACGACAAGGTTCCTCACGCTGAGGACAAGGTTCCTCACGCTGAGGACAAGGTTCTTCACGCTGAGGACAAGGTTCCTCACGCTGAGGACAAGTTTCCTCACGCTGAGGACAAGGTTCCTCACGCTGAGGACAAGGTTCCTCACGCTGAGGACAAGGTTCCTCACGCTGAGGACAAGGTTCTTCACGCTGTGGACAATGTTCTTCACGCTGAGGGCAAGGTTCCTCACGCTGAGGACAAGGTTCCCCACGCTGAGGACAAGGTCCTCACGCTGAGGACAAGGTTCTTCACGCTGTGGACAATGTTCTTCACGCTGAGGGCAAGGTTCCTCACGCTGAGGACAAGCTTCCTCACTCTGAGGACAAGGCTCGTTACGCTCAGGAGAATGTTTCTCATTCTGAGAACAAGGTTCCTCACGCTGAGAACTAGGTTCATCATGCTGAGGACAAGGTTCCTCACGCTGAGGACAAGATTTTTCACGCTGAGGACAATGTTCCTCACGCTGAGGACAAGGTTCCTCACGCTGAGGACAAGGTTGCTCACGCTGAGAAGAATGCTCCTCACGCTGAGAACAAGGTTCCTCACGCTAAGAACAATGTTCCTCAAGCTGAGGACAAGGTTCTTCACGCTGAGGACAAGGTTTTTCACACTGAGGACAAGGTTTCTCACGCTGAGGACAAGGTTCCTCACGCTGAGAACAAGGTTCGTCAGGCTGAGGACAAATTTCCTCACGCTGAGGACAAGGTTCCTCACGCTGAGAACAAGGTTCCTCATTCTGAGGACAAGGTTCCTCACGCTGAGAACAAGGTTCCTCACGCTGAGCACAAGGTTCGTCACGCTGAGGACAAGGTTCCTCACGCTGAGGACAAGGTTCCTCACGCTGACGACCAGGTTCGTCAAGCTGAGGACAAGGTTCCTCACACTGAGGACAAGCTTCCTCACGCTGAGGACAAGGTTGTTCACGCTGAGGACAAGGTTCTTCACGCTGAGGACAAGGTTCCTCACGCTGAGGACAAGCTTTCTCACACTGAGGACAAGGCTCGTCACGCTGAGGACAAAGTGTCTCATGCTGAGAACAAGGTGTCTCACGGTGAGAACAAGGTTCCTCATGCTGAGGACAAGGTTCCTCACGCTGAGGACAAGGTTCCTCACGCTGAGGACAAGATTCTTCACGCTGAGGACAATGCTCCTCACGCTGAGGAAAAGGTTCCTCACGCTGAGGACAAGGTTCCTCACGCTGAGAAGCATGCTCCTCACGCTGAGGACAAGGTTCGTCACGCTAAGAACAAGGTTCCTCACGCTGAGGACAAGGTTCCTCAAGCTGAGGACAAGGTTCCTCACGCTGAGGACAAGGTCGTCACGCTAAGAGGTTTCTCACTCTGAGGACACGGTTGCTCACGCTGACGGACAAGGTTCCTCAGGCTGAGGACAAATTTCCTCACGCTGAGGACAAGGTTCCTCAGGCTGAGGACAAGATTTCCTCACGCTGAGGACAAGGTTCCTCACGCTGAGGACAAGGTTCCTCACGATGAGGACAAGGTTCCTCACGCTGAGAACAAGGTTCCTCATCCTGAGGACAAGTTTTCTCACGCTGAGGACAAGGTTCCTGACGCTGAGGACAAGGTTCGTCACGCTGAGGACAAGGTTCCTCACGCTGAGGAAAAGGTTCCTCACGCTGAGGACAAGGTTCCTCACGCTGAGAACAAGGTTCCTCACGCTGAGGACAAGGTTCCTCACGCTGAGGACAAGGTTCCTCACGCTGAGGACAAGGTTCCTCACGCTGAGGACAAGGTTCCTCACGCTGAGGACAAGGTTCCTCACGCTGAGGACAAGGTTCCTCACGCTGAGGACAAGGTTCCTCACGCTGAGGACAAGGTTCCTCACGCTGAGGACAAGGTTCCTCACGCTGCGGACAAAGTTCCTCACGCTGAGGACAAGGTTCCTCACGCTGAGAAAATGCTCCTCACGCTGAGGACAAGGTTCCTCACGCTGAGAACAAGGTTCCTCATTCTGAGGACAAGTTTCCTCACGCTGAGGACAAGGTTCCTCACGCTGAGAAGAATGCTCCTCACGCTGAGGACAAGGTTCCTCACGCTGAGAAGAATCCTCCTCACGCTGAGGACAAGGTTCCTCACGCTAAGAACAAGGTTCCTCACGCTGAGGACAAGTTCCTCACGCTGAGGACAAGGTTCCTCACGCTGAGGAGAAGGTTCCTCACGCTGAGGACAAGGTTGCTCACGCTGAGGACAAGGTTCCTCACGCTGAGGACAAAGTTCCTCACGCTGAGGACAAGGTTCCTCACGCTGAGGACAAGGTTCCTCACGCTGAGGACAAGGTTCCTCACGCTGAGGACAAGGTTCCTCACGCTGAGGACAAGGTTCCTCACGCTGAGAACAAGGTTCCTCATTCTGAGGACAAGGTTCCTCACGCTGAGGACAAGGTTCCTCACGCTGAGGACAAGGTTCGTCACGCTGAGGACAAGGTTCCTTACGCTGAGGACAAGTTTCCTTACGCTGAGGACAAGGTTCCTCACGCTGAGGACAAGGTTCCTCACGCTGAGGATAAGGTTCCTCACGCTGAGGACAAGGTTTCTTTACGCTACAAGGTTCTTCACGCTGAGGACAAGGTTCCTCACGCTGGGGATAAGGTTCCTCACGCTGAGGACAAGGTACCTCACGCTAAGGACAAGGTTCCTCACGCTGAGGACAAGGTTCCTCACGCTGAAATTAATGTGCGATAACAAGGAAAAGTCGAACGAACGACAAGGTACCTCACGCTAAGGACAAGGTTCCTCACGCTGAGGACAAGGTTCCTCACGCTGAAATTAATGTGCGATAACAAGGAAAAGTCGAACGAACTTCAAGTAATTAAAGCGAATGTATGCGAGTTAATTAATGCAAGAGGAAAGTACATTCAGATAAACAAGGTCGATGCTCAAACAGGGGTTAGCGAAGTTATACAAAGGTCTGAATTGTCTGTCCCTGAAGTGAGACATATGGGAAATCGTCCAACAGTTGCTGAAAGTATACAGTTCAACAATAATAGTCCTTGTCGTGTGAAAGAATTTGCCGCAGACGTATGTATTTTAGACTGTAAGGAAAACGATAAAAGTATCTCGGACATTAGCGTAATCATGCATGAGGATAGGCGAACAATAGAAACTAAACAACCGCACAAAAACGAAGATAAAAGGCCGAAACCTCATAATACAAATTTATGTAAAAATGCAGCGCCTAACCTTTCTTCCGACGTCCGCAATAACGATAAGCAACATGGCGATTTACATACATCTAATACATCCTTAAATAACAATCCCAATAATGAAGTTCCTAGCCCGCAACGACAAAATTCTACTATTCCCGTTCGCATTACTAACAGAGGCCATGTAACACCAAATCGAACAGAACCCTTTCAAACCCGTAAAAAATATGTCCGAAGTTGTGCCCACAACAATCAACGATCTAATGGCGGGCCATTGGGGTCTCATTATGGACCGTTGTGTAGCACGAATCTGAATGAATCTAATGTAGATTTTTTCGTACAGTACCTGTGCGGAAACCGAAAGATCCTTGTTTGCCCAGGAAAATATTGAGAGACAAAATCCTACTCTACCGGAAATCACGCTAATAAACATAACTTAATTCAAATTCCAATACAAACTAATATAAATTCAAATTCCCGGCCTTCTTTTACTCGATCCCAAACTAACGTCTCCCATAACCTCAAGATTGCCCACCTGAATATTAGATCATTCACGAATACGTCACATCTTATAGAGACCAAGGAACTTGTAAAATCACATAAAATTGACGTCCTTATAATGTCCGAAACGTGGTTAAATAGTACAGTTACGAATGGTGAATTTGCAAATGATGATTATAAAATTTACAGACTTGATAAATTACATAAGAAAGGTGGAGGTGTGTGCGCATTTGTCAAAAAAGCCTTAAAAGTAACCATATTAAACGAACTAACATATACAGCAGAATCAAACTTTCAACAACTTTGGATCAAGCTTCAAAATAAGAAAAGGAAGACAATAATAATTTGCGTGACTTATAGACCTCAGGACTGCCCCCTCAATTGCATTCAGGATGATTTTAGACAAAATTATGTTCGGGCATTATCTATGAATAAACCAATTTTTATTCTTGGTGACTTGAACTGTAACTTACTTAAAGATTGCCCAGAGAAAAGAGCTATTACAGAACTTTGCAATGATTTAAATCTTAAGCAAATAATCAAGGAACCAACGAGGATTAGAGACACGTCCCAATCACTCATCGATGTTATACTAGTTTCTACCGAAGCTGTAGTCCTTGAAAGCGGAGTATTAGATTCTGCAATCAGCGATCATTTTCCAACTTACGTATCAGCGAAACTGAATGTTCCAAAGACTACTTACATCACGGTGAGAAGTTATAAAAATTATGATCCCACAGCTTTCTCTTCTGATCTGGCTACGAAATCTGATCGTCTTTTATCTATATTTACTGAAACAGATGTAACTACTAAAACTGAAGTCCTTAAGGATGTTCTTCAGTCAACCTTGGATTTACATGCACCAATTAAAACAATCAGAAGTAGGAGCCGCGCCAACACATTCGTTACGCGCGACACGAAAGAACTCATGAAATCTCGAGACAAACTACATCAGAGATTACTTAAAACACGTTGCAAGCGGGATTGGGAAATGTACGCAGGATCTCGTAACAAAGTTAAAGTTATGCTTAAGGAGGCAGCAATAAACCATCTATCTGACGAAGTTAAAGTCCGTAAGAATAATCCAGGTTCTCTCTGGAAAATAATTAATAAAACTATACCTGTAAAAGAGAAGGAAAAACATATCTACACGAAAGACCTCAAGTCGATTGTTGAAGATTTTAATAACTACTTCACCTCAGTTGGAAAAATCACCGCCGCTACAGCATTAGATCTGGCAAACAAAAACAACATTGCATTATCGGATCCTATGTTGAACTCTGAAATCTACCCCACGAATCAACAGTTTAAATTTAAACCTGTTACTTGTTCAGTAATTCGACGAATTATTATGGCAATGCCCAGAAACAAATCACCGGGGCCGGATAAGATCAGCATAGGTGTTATTAAAGATTGTCTAGCAGTCATTCCGGGCCCCCTTACGAACCTAATTAACAGTTCCTTAGCGTTAGGTAAGTTTCCAGATAAGTGGAAACTATCTGAAGTAATACCATTGCATAAAGATGGCGATCAAGAGATACCGTCTAATAATCGACCCCTTTCACTTTTAGAAGTTTTATCAAAGGTCTGTGAAAGAGTTTCACTCGACCAATTTAGTTCATACATAACAGAAAACCAACGTTTATCACCACATCAAAATGGAAATAGGAAACACCACTCTACAGAAACTTTAAACATCTTCATTACGGACAAGATGCTGGAAGCCATGGACAAAAAACATGTAACAGCCCTCATTTTATTGGACCTGTCCAAGGTCTTTAACAGCATCAATCATACAATCCTATTGCATAAGTTAAAATGCGTAGGAGCGTCTCCGCTAGCCATTCAATGGTTTGAAAGCTATCTGTCGGGCAGATCACAATACGTACGAATAGGATCTACTGTTTGCTCAACTAGCGCACTAACCCATGGAGTGCCCCAGGGCTCTATTCTTTGACCATTTTTGTTTTGAATTGACGTTAATGATCTACCAGCTGGAAAGGTTTCAAGTGATCTCGACTCCTACGTTGACGATTCAAAACTCCATCTTGCATTTCTTGTGGAAGACATACAACAGACAATAGCTAAGCTAGAAAACGATCTGTATAAAACCGCTAAATGGTGCTTGGAACATCAATTATTAATCAATCCTGACAAGACCAAATTCCTCTTAGTAGGCACAAGATCAATGCTACAGAATTTACCAACACAAATCAAGCTGAACTTTCTCGGAAAAACTCTTAAACCAGTTTCAGTTGTCAAAGACTTGGGGATGCACCTTGATTTACATCACTCCTATGATGACCATATTTCTAAACCGTCGTTAACGTGCATAAACAAATCATGTCAAATTAGTCGAGTAAAGGAGAGCATTGATAAAAAAACTTTAATATTACTTATTGAAGCTTTGGTGATTAACAAGTTGTTATATAGTTATTCTGTGTGGGCTAATACCTCATCGAAAAATCTAAAGAAATGGCAAACAGTCCAGAACTTCGCATGCCGAATTATCACGAGTTGAAAACTTACTTATTTACAAACACACGATAATGACTTATAAATGTCTGAACAAACTTGCGCCAAGTTACCTTGTAAATAAATTCACAAAGCGATCTGATATTCATAATTGCCAGACTAGAAATAACTATTGTTTAAATATTTCAAGCTATAAAACTACTGCAGGGCAAAGAACATTTCATTATCGCGCAGTTAAGATAGGAACGATATTGAGGATGAACAGAAAAAGATTCCAGAACTCAAGGTTTTTAAGAAAAAACTAAAAGAACACCTTTTAAATTCTTAGTATCATATACATGAAGGCTTTAACAGACAATCGTGACTTCGATTTTGAATAGTATAGCATAGCTTTATTGTAAATTGCGTATTGTAATTGTATGCTGAAAAGCCCTTTGGGGAACATACAAAGTTTTTAATAATAATAATAATAATAATAATAATAATAATAATAATAATAATGTTCGTCATGCTGAGGACAAGGTTCCTCACGCTGAGGAAAAGGATCCTCACGTTGAGGACAAGGTTCCTCACGCTGAGGACAATTTTTCTCACGCCGAGGACAAGGTTCCTCATCCTGTGGACAAGGTTACACACGCAGGACAAGGTTCCTCACAACGAGGACAAGGTTCTTCACGCTGAGGACAAGGTTCCTAACGCTGAGGACAAGGTACCTCACGCGGAGGACAAGCTTCCTCACGCTGAGAACAAGGTTCCTCACGCTGAGGACAACGTTCCTCAACTGAGAACAAGGTTCCTCACGCTGAGGACAAGGTTCCTCACGCTGAGGACAAGGTTCCTCACGCTGAGGACAAGGTTCTTCACGCTGAGGACAAGGTTCCCTCACGCTGAGGACAAGGTTCCTCACGCTGAGGACCAGATTCCACACGCTGAGGACAAGGTACTTCACGCTGAGGAAAAGTTTCCTCACGGTGAGAACAAGGTTCCTCATGCTGAGGACAAGGTTCCTCACGCTGAGAACAAGGTTCCTCACGGTGAGGACAAGGTTCCTCACGCTGAGGACATGTTCCTCACGCTCAGGACAAGGTTCCTCAGGCTGTCACGCTGAGGACAAGGTTCTTCACGCTCGAGAAGGTTCCTCACGCTGAGGACAAGGTTCCTCACGCTTCCTCACGCTGAGGACAAGGTTCCTCACGCTGAGGACAAGGTTCTTCACGCTAAGGACAAGGTTCTTCACGCTGAGGACAAGGTTCCTCACGCTGAGGACAAGGTTCCTCACGCTGAGTGACAAGGTTCCTCACGCTGACGACAAGTTTCTTCACGCTGAGGACAAGTTTCTTCGCGCTGAGAACAAGATTCCTCACGCTGATGACAAGGTTCCTCACGCTGAGGACAAGGTTCTTCACGCTAAGCAGAAGGTTCTTCACGCTGAGGACAAGGATTTCCTCATGCTGAGGACAAGGTTCCTCACGCTGAGGACAAGGTTCCTCACGCTGAGGAGTAGGTTCTTCACGGTGAGGACAAGGTTCCTCACGCTGAGGACAAGGTTCCTCACGCTGAGGAGTAGGTTCTTCACGGTGAGGACAAGGTTCCTCACGCTGAGGACAAGGTTCCTCACGCTGAGGACAAGGTTCCTTACGCTGAGGACAAGGTTCTTCACGCTGATGACTAGGTCCTTCACGGTGAGGACAAGGTTCCTCACGCTGAGGACAATGTTCCTCACGCTGAGGACAAGGTTCCTCACGCTGAGGAGAAGGTTCTTCACGCTGAGGACAAGGTTCGTCACGCTGAGAACAACGTTCGTCACGCTCAGGACAAGGTTCTTCACGCTGAGGACAAGGTTCTTCACGCTGAGAACAAGATTCCTCACGCTGAGGACAAGGTTCCTCATGCTGAGGACAAGGTTTTTCACGCTGAGGACAAGGTTCTTCACGCTGAGAACAAGGTTCCTCATGCTGAGGACAAGATTCCTCACGCTGAGGACAAGGTTCCTCACGCTGAGGACAAGGTTCTTCACGCTGAGGACAAGGTTTTTCACGCTGAGAACAAGATTCCTCACGCTGATGACAAGGTTCCTCATGCTGAGGACAAGGTTCTTCACGCTGAGGACAAGGTTCTTCACGCTGAGACAAGGTTCCTCACGCTGAGGACAAGGTTCTTCACGCTGAGGACAAGGTTCCTCACGCTGAGGACAAGGTTCTTCACGCTGAGGACAAGGTTCCTCACGCTGAGGACAAGGTTCTTCACGCTGAGGACAAGGTTCCTCACGCTGAGGACAAGGTTCTTCACGCTGAGGACAAGGTTCTTCACGCTGAGAACAAGGTTCCTCATGCTGAGGACAAGGTTCCTCACGCTGAGGACAAGGTTCCTCACGCTGATGACAAGGTTCCTCACGCTGAGGACAAGGTTCTTCACGCTGAGGACAAGGTTCGTCACGCTGAGGACAAGGTTCCTCACACTGAGGATAAGGTTCTTGACGCGGAGGACAAGGTTCCTCACGCCGAGGACAAGGTTCCTCACACTGAGGACAAGGTTCTTGACGCGGAGGACAAGGTTCCTCACGCTGAGGACAAGGTTCCTCACGCTGAGGACAAGGTTCCTCACGCTGAGGACAAGGTTCCTCACGCTGAGGACAAGGTTCCTCACGCTGAGGACAAGGTTCCTCACGCTGAGGACAAGGTACCTCACGCTGAGGACAAGGTTCCTCACGCTGAGAACAAGGTTCCTCACGCTGAGGACAAGGTTCCTCACGCTGAGGACAAGGTTCCTCACGCTGAGGACAAGGTTCCTCACGCTGAGGACAAGGTTCCTCACGCTGAGGACAAGGTTCCTCACGCTGAGGACAAGATTCCTCACGCTGAGGCCAAGGTTTCCTCACGCTGAGGACAAGGTTCCTCACGCTGAGGACAAGGTTCCTCACGCTGAGTAAATGTTTCCTCACGCTGAGAACAAGGTTCCTCATGCTGAGGACAAGGTTCCTCACGCTGAGGACAAGGTTCCTCACGCTGAGGACAAGATTCCTCACGCTGAGGACAAGGTTCCTCATGCTGAGGACAAGGTTCCTCACGCTGAGGACAAGGTTCTTCACGCTGAGGACAAGGTTCCTCACGCTGAGGACAAGGTTCCTCACGCTGAGGACAAGGTTCTTCACGCTGAGGACAAGATTCCTCACGCTGAGGACAAGGTTCCTCACGCTGAGGACAAGGTTCCTCACGCCTGAGGACAAGGTTCCTCACGCTGAGGACAAGGTTCCTCACGCTGAGGACAAGGTTCCTCACGCTGAGGACAAGGTTCCTCACGCTGAGGACAAGGTTCCTCACGCTTAGGACAAGGTTCCTCACGCTGAGGCCAAGGTTCTTCACGCTGAGGACAAGGTTCCTCATGCTGAGGACAAGGTTCCTCACGCTGAGGAGAAATTTCTTCACGCTGAGGACAAGGTTGCTCACGCTGAGAAGAAGGCTCCACACGCTGAGGACAAGGTTCCTCAAGCTGAGAACAAGGTTGCTCACGCTCAGGACAAGGTTCCTCAGGCTGAGGACAAGGTTCTTCACGCTGAGAACAAGGTTCCTCACGCTGAGGACAAGATTCCTCACGCTGAGGACAAGGTTCTTCACGCTGAGGACAAGGTTCCTCACGCTGAGGACGAGATTCCACACGCTGAGGACAAGGTACTTCACGCTGAGGAAAAGTTTCCTCACGGTGAGAACAAGGTTCCTCATGCTGAGGACAAGGTTCCTCACGCTGAGAACAAGGATCCTAACGGTGAGGACAAGGTTCCTCACGCTGAGAACATGTTCCTCACGCTCAGGACAAGGTTCCTCAGGCTGAGGACAAGGTTCTTCACGCTCAGAAGAAGGTTCCTCACGCTGAGGACAAGGTTCTTCACGCTGAGGACAATGTTCTTCACGCTGAGAACAAGGTTCCTCACGCTGAGGACAAGGTTCCTCACGCTGAGGACAAGGTTCTTCACGCTGAGGACAAGGTTCTTCGCGCTGAGGACAAGGTTCCTCACGCTGAGGACGAGATTCCACACGCTGAGGACAAGGTACTTCACGCTGAGGAAAAGTTTCCTCACGGTGAGAACAAGGTTCCTCATGCTGAGGACAAGGTTCCTCACGCTGAGAACAAGGTTCCTCACGGTGAGGACAAGGTTCCTCACGCTGAGGACATGTTCCTCACGCTCAGGACAAGGTTCCTCAGGCTGAGGACAAGGTTCTTCACGCTCAGAAGAAGGTTCCTCACGCTGAGGACAAGGTTCTTCACGCTGAGGACAATGTTCTTCACGCTGAGAACAAGATTCCTCACGCTGAGGACAAGGTTCCTCACGCTGAGGACAAGGTTCTTCACGCTGAGGACAAGGTTCTTCACGCTGAGGACAAGGTTCCTCATGCTGAGGACAAGGTTCCTCACGCTGAGGACAAGCTTCCTCACGCTGACGGCAAGTTTCTTCACGCTGAGGACAAGTTTCTTCACGCTGAGAACAAGATTCCTCACGCTGATGACAAGGTTCCTCACGCTGAGGACAAGGTTCTTCACGGTGAGCAGAAGGTTCTTCACGCTGAGGACAAGGATTTTCACGCTGACGACCAGGTTCCTCACGCTGAGGACAAGGTTCCTCATGCTGAGAACAAGGTTCCTCATGCTTACGACAAGGTTCCTCACGCTGAGGACAAGGTTCTTCACGCTGAGGACAATGTTCTTCACGCTGAGAACAAGATTCCTCACGCTGAGGACAAGGTTCCTCACGCTGAGGACAAGGTTCTTCACGCTGAGGACAAGGTTCTTCGCGCTGAGGACAAGGTTCCTCACGCTGAAGACGAGATTCCACACGCTGAGGACAAGGTACTTCACGCTGAGGAAAAGTTTCCTCACTGAGACAAGGTTCCTCATGCTGAGGACAAGGTTCCTCACGCTGAGAACAAGGTTCCTCACGGTGAGGACAAGGTTCCTCACGCTGAGGACATGTTCCTCACGCTCAGGACAAGGTTCCTCAGGCTGAGGACAAGGTTCTTCACGCTCAGAAGAAGGTTCCTCACGCTGAGGACAAGGTTCTTCACGCTGAGGACAATGTTCTTCACGCTGAGAACAAGATTCCTCACGCTGAGGACAAGGTTCCTCACGCTGAGGACAAGGTTCTTCACGCTGAGGACAAGGTTCCTCATGCTGAGGACAAGGTTCCTCACGCTGAGGACAAGCTTCCTCACGCTGACGACAAGTTTCTTCACGCTGAGGACAAATTTCTTCGCGCTGACAACAAGATTCCTCACGCTGATGACAAGGTTCCTCACGCTGAGGACAAGGTTCTTCACGATGAGCAGAAGGTTCTTCACGCTGAGGACAAGGATTTTCACGCTGAGGACCAGGTTCCTCACGCTGAGGACAAGGTTCCTCATGCTGAGAACAAGGTTCCTCATGCTTACGACAAGGTTCCTCACGCTGAGGACAAGGTTCCTCACGCTGAGGACTAGGTTCTTCACGGTGAAGACAAGGTTCCTCACGCTGAGGACAAGGTTCCTCACGCTGAGGACAAGGTTCCTCACGCTGAGGACATGTTCCTCACGCTCAGGACAAGGTTCCTCAGGCTGAGGACAAGGTTCTTCACGCTCAGAAGAAGGTTCCTCACGCTGAGGACAAGGTTCTTCACGCTGAGGACAATGTTATTCACGCTGAGAACAAGATTCCTCACGCTGAGGACAAGGTTCCTCACGCTGAGGACAAGGTTCTTCACGCTGAGGACAAGGTTCTTCACGCTGAGGACAAGGTTCCTTACGCTGAGGACGAGATTCCACACGCTGAGGACAAGGTACTTCACGCTGAGGAAAAGTTTCCTCACGGTGAGAACAAGGTTCCTCATGCTGAGGACAAGGTTCCTCACGCTGAGAACAAGGTTCCTCACGGTGAGGACAAGGTTCCTCACGCTGAGGACATGTTCCTCACGCTCAGGACAAGGTTCCTCAGGCTGAGGACAAGGTTCTTCACGCTCATAAGAAGGTTCCTCACGCTGAGGACAAGGTTCTTCACGCTGAGGACAAGGTTCTTCACAATGAGAACAAGATTCCTCACGCTGAGGACAAGGTTCCTCACGCTGAGGACAAGGTTCTTCACGCTGAGGACAAGGTTCTTCACGCTGAGGACAAGGTTCCTCATGCTGAGGACAATGTTCCTCACGCTGAGGACAAGCTTCCTCACGCTGACGACAAGTTTCTTCACGCTGAGGACAAATTTCTTCGCGCTGACAACAAGATTCCTCACGCTGATGACAAGGTTCCTCACGCTGAGGACAAGGTTCTTCACGATGAGCAGAAGGTTCTTCACGCTGAGGACAAGGATTTTCACGCTGAGGACCAGGTTCCTCACGCTGAGGACAAGGTTCCTCATGCTGAGAACAAGGTTCCTCATGCTTACGACAAGGTTCCTCACGCTGAGGACAAGGTTCCTCACGCTGAGGACTAGGTTCTTCACGGTGAGGACAAGGTTCCTCACGCTGAGGACAAGTTTCCTCACGCTGAGGACAAGGTTCCTCACGCTGAGGACAAGGTTCTTCACGCTGATGACTAGGTCCTTCACGGTGAGGACAAGGTTCCTCACGCTGAGGACAAGGTTCCTGACGCTGAGGACAAGGTTCCTCACGCTGAGGAGAAGGTTCTTCACGCTGAGGACAAGGTTCCTCACGCTGAGAACAACGTTCGTCACGCTCAGGACAAGGTTCCTCAGACTGAGGACAAGGTTCTTCACGCTGAGGACAAGGTTCCTCACGCTGAGGACAAGGTTCTTCACGCTGAGGACAAGGTTCTTCACGCTGAGAACAAGATTCCTCACGCTGAGGACAAGGTTCCTCACGCTGAGGACAAGGTTCCTCACGCTGAGAACAACGTTCCTCACGCTCAGGACAAAGTTCCTCGGGCTGAGGACAAGGTTCTTCACGTTGAGGACAAGGTTGCTCACGCTGAGGACAAGGTTCTTCACGCTGAGGACAAGGTTGTTCACGCTGAGAACAAGGTTGTTCACGCTGAGAACAAGATTCCTCACGCTGAGGACAAGGTTCCTC